ACCAGCAGCAGCATCGTTGTGGCAGCTACACAATACAGACGACGAAACGAGTGACTGCCTCATTTAAGTGGCAACTTAAATGCCACGCACACTTGCGGAAATGATGCTGACTCTACTCCTGGTTCCTCCTCAGATAACCAAGACACTCTCCGGTACGACTCGACCTGGCAGCCAGTGCCAATGCTATTCTCAAAGGAAAAAATGTGGTAAAAGGATTGCGGCTTTGCAGCTTGCGGTAATCAACATTAAAAATCAGCATTATCATCAGCCCAGGCGGCGTCTAATGGTGACAATGACAGCGACAGGAGACAAGAGGCAGGAGACCAGCATAAGGATGGGGCAAAGTTGAAAGTTGAAATTCCTTAAAGTGACTGCAGTTTCATTAGCGACTCAAGTTGATTGGCTTTGCAGAATGTTCCACAAACAGAACAGCACCAGTACCAGCACCAGATGGCTGCTCTTCTCCTGCTCTGCTGCTGCATTCGGAGTGCTCCAGCATTTAGTTGGGGAGCGTAATTAAGTTGAAATTAAAGCGGAAAGTTTGCTTTAAGTTCGCCTCGCCTCGGCTCTTACACTGGGCAAACGCTAATTAGATTTTTTAGTTTTCATTTGGCAGCAGAAGCAGCAGCAGTCGACGTCCATCTAGACCCTCATGCTGGATGCAAATGAATGAAATTAAAAGCACATTATACTGTATAATGCGAGATGATTTGAGCTAAGCAAATTTAATTTAAAGATTTGCTGAGCCAAGCCAAGATGCTGCCCCACAGCTTCAGCTCCAGCTCCAGCTAAAGCTCCCCGCCCTTAAGAGTCCCAGTCCCAGTGCCAGACCAAGTCCAATGGCGTGTCATATATCAAAGCATATCCCCCAGATAACCGCAGTGCCAAATTGTGGGCATAAGTGACTCTCAAAAGCACATAAATGTGGCAGGGACCTCCTCATGGACTGACGGACGGATGGATGGATGGAGCCCACTGATTGGTATGGAATGGGTATGTGTGGTCTGGGGGTATGCGGCATTGATCAAAGTCATAAGTCGGCGGCATACAAATCTCCATGTAAATATCCTTTTACAGTTGAGTTGTCCCTTTTAGGGACAGTCCAGGCATTGGCTCCGTGGTCTCTGCAGGACGGCCATCACAGCACGTCTAAGCAACTGGATTATTAACATTTCAATATAATTTGTGTTTGTGTGTGTGTGCGGCATTCATATTCGTAGGAGGAGGGTCCGGTTGGTGTGGATGTCGGATGAGAACCCAACTTTTTCCTGCTGACGACTGGGAAAATTAACGCGCCTCAGGACTTTGATCCTTTTTTTATATGTGTATGAGTGTAGTATATGTATATTTGCCAATCCCAGCCCCCCGCTCCCTGCTACGTGTTAGTCTTCTGTATTTGCTTACATATTCATCAATTTTTGGGTTAAGTTGTGGGCGGGTCTTTGCTGCGGGTCCCGGCCACGGGACTGTCTCTGCGGCCCGCACGTTTTGCGGTTGCTGGCGTCAAATTGTTTTGCTTGTTTTGGGGCTCTCACATGACAGCGGGCAGTCCCAGCAGTCGGTTAGCTGGTGGTTTGCCACCCGCCAACTAAACGCTTTTAGCTCTAATGCAGTCCAGTTTCCAGCTTGGCCCCAAAACAGTTCATAATTGCCATTAGCCCATACGCCATGCGGTCTTCTATATGGCAGGCAGTCAGGCAGGTAGTCGACCCCCAGCGAAAATCGGACAAACGCATTCGATAAATGCGATTGCAGTGCGTATTATCAATAATATATGAATAAAATATATAAATAATAAAGTAGTGATTCTTTTGTTGAAAAGTTTGCTGCGAAAGTGTCCTCGAGCGGCCTGTGCGTGTAATTAAACGTTGCAGCTTATGTAAGACAAACAGGAAATAAGGTTTAGCACAAACGCATAAATAACAACAGGGGGAAATCAGTAAACTCTCTCGTACGTACAGTGGGGAACATAAATAAACGCATACACAAACAATGGAAGCGGATAACATAAAATTTACAACAACTAAGACCAACAAGAACAGAGGCAAAAGCAGGGGCAGAGGGAAGGCCAAGGAAGGCATAAAAGTGGATAGCCATACTACACACACACACACATAGTAGGAAACGCATACAGTCGCACACTGAGTAGCTTCCGTCTTTAATCAAATGGTACAAGGGGGCGTGTTGCTGCCTGGCTGGCTTGCTGCCTGGCTGGCAACACTGCTGACACACTTAGTCCAACCGACTTGAGCCGACTCCACTCTCGACTATCCTTGCGACGAAGTTGTTAACGCTTTCCAGGCAGCACAGAACAGCAAAGGTACGGGACAGGACAGGGCACGGACAGGTGCGTCCTCGGCAAATATACAAAACACTTGTAACTTGCCGTACGCCTAGAAAGGATTTATGATTAATTTATGTGCTCATGAGTGTGTATGCGCTGTATGCATGGACGAGTATGTATGTAAAGGTAAGACAACGACAACGACAACGTCAACGAAAACGAGCCGAATGAAATGATGGTAAAAACTTAATTAACTCATTACACATACGCACCGTTTTAATCAGCAAACGAGCCGACAGGGAAAAACGGAAACGGAGACAAGGAAAAGAAATGAAATGAAATGAAAGGCAGCAGCCTCGACGTACACGTGGGTCTGCTGCTCTACGGGTCTGCGGCAACCGCTTGACATGCTGACACCGAAGGCAATGTGCGAGGCTTGGGCGCTGCCAATCGAGGGCTTTCGCGGTGCAAATTTAAAGCAGCCTTTGACTGCAATTAGTGGCCGACTCGTTTGTCTGTCTCTCACAGACGCAGACAGACATATATAATCAAGACGAGGGGTAGACGAAGGACCTCATACGTGCATTGCGTATAGGCGAACTTCCTGCGAACTTCCACGAGCCTGCCAGTAGTCCTCCAGTCATTCGCATGTTGCGTGCATGCCTCAATCGGCGGCCCTTGCCTTTGAGTTGACGTTGTGCAAAAGGGCGAAAGCAATAACCTGAGCACAGTTACAGCAACGAGCGTCAGCCAGGCAGCCAGGCAGCCGGAGGGAGCCAACCTGCGCGACTGACGATTGATTTACAGTAATGGTAACTACTCGAAACGAGCAGAGCAGGGCAGAGGCGAGCCCATGCACCAGCAGACTCGACAGCCGAGGAAACCCACTAAGCCGCTCGCGGACCCCTTTCGACCTTTCGACTGCCTTCACAATGGGCTCATTAACGGTGGCGTATACGCAATTTCCAATTAAATAAAAAGTGTGCGAGCGCACACATACATCTGTAAATACATATATATGTATATTTGTATGAGGTAACATACGTGAACACGCACAGATTTACTCGTTATGGCTGGTGTGTGCGTAAAAGTATGTGTGTTTAAAAGACCAACATCGCAGTCAGAGAACGATGCCTGATGACGGTGGTGTCGCTGCCAACCAGCGACCAGCCCCCAGCCCACAGGTCCGTCTCCATCAGTTCCGCCCTGGCTGCGGGGAAATTCCTTTTAATATTTATTTAACACAAAAGCTTTCCGCATTTCGCTTTTGCCCAGCGCTGCGGCGACGCCATCGCCAACGCCAACGACAGCAACGGCAACGGCAACGGCGACGCTGCCGTTAATTTTTCGCTTTGCTTTTCATTTTCGCAAAATTACCGGAAATGTTAATTTCTGCACGTGCAGCAGGCCAGGCCGAAGGACATGCAGCAGTGGGGCAGGCAAGTCGGTCGCCGGGTCGAAGTCGAACCGCCAGCGTCGTAGTCGTCAGAGCAAGTCCCTCGCCCTAGCCCCAGTCCCACCCTTAGCCCCAGCCCCTACTGAATAGTGCTAATTATTTAGGGTAAGAATTCTCTCAGTGTGTGTGTGCGAGTGAGAGTGAGTGAGTGAGTGTGGTGGTTGGGGTGACCCCCAAAAAATGTTCCACTGCATTGGCCCTTAACCCATTACCACCCCATGTGCGTCGCTGTGGGCTGGCTATGCCTCTGCTTTGTGTCTTAGCTTTGGAGCCTCAGAGCTGAGCAAAACTGACACAAGAGCGCACGAAGGACAATGGCAACCGACAGCGACGAGGACGACGATGACGACGACGACGACGACAGTCGCGACTTTTTCTGTGCCAAAGAGACAAAGCACACAAAAATAATAATAAATGATTGCAATTTGTGTAAGTGTGTGTGTATGTCCGTGTGTCCCTGTGTATGTATGTGTCTGTTTGCTTTGCATGTGAGAGACAACCCTCACCCGCTGCACTTGTGTTTGTGCAGCCTGCATGACAGCGAGAGGCTTTGAGTTTGTGCACTCGCCGCATGTGGCATATACTCGTGTATATACATATACACGTACAGAATGGATACACAATATACACACGATGTTTGGCTCGACGAAGCCAGAGATTCGAGCGTGCAAAAGTTTACTTAGATGAATGGGTTAATTAGTATTAATGGCAGGTTCTTCAGAAGGAAAGTGAACCAACACAAAGGACAGGCCGCATTCGGAAGATGTGACATGATATGATATGATGACATGAATGAGTTGGGCAAAGCTCTCTCATTTTCCATTCGCTTCTTGCGAAAACTAAACCATCCACGGGGCCAGCCAGGCTCTTGTCAAGTTTTTTGAGCCCGTCATCAGCCAAGTCTCATCAATCCTGCGAGGCTTCTTTGTGATTTCAATTAACTTATCTCTGCTTATGCAGCATAAAATTATATATATGAAAAACTTTTCTTTCCCCTTCTTTTTTTTTTTTTTTGTGAAAATATGCATTAAAGCAGAAGAAGCGTAAGAGAGCGGAGGGGCAATAAATTGCGATATAAAAGCGCATGACTTGAGATTCCTTTCTGATTTGAGTTTTTATCAGGCGCATATTTTTGGAGACTCACGATGTGCCGCCAGGGGCAACGGCAACGGCAACGTCAACTCTTTCCACACAGCACACAGAAAACAGCACTTTGATACTTTCTCTGATTTCCCATTCTCTCTCTTTATTTTTTTGCAGAACAATTCCACATCTTTGTCGGTGACTTGAGCTCAGAAATTGAAACTCAGCAATTGCGCGAGGCATTCACACCATTCGGCGAAATCTCGTAAGTATTAAAATGCAAATTTTCCATTTGCCAGTTAACTTGGAATTGCCTTTATACACAGTCGTACTACTCCCCTTTTCCTTTTCCTTTTCCCTTTCCAGTACCACTTTCATTTTGTCATTCTTTTCTGCTATTTTTCTTCTCCTTTTTTTTGACAATTTTCCTGTCACACATTCCCTGATTATTGGCAGGCGCGTGAGAAGGAGGCTGTTCCGTAAGCCGCTTGCCGGGGAGCATAAAAAATTCATAACCGAGCGGGGGAAAAATGAATTTATGCAAATTTCACTTTTGGCGAACTCTTTTCGCTGCCACTGTGCGCTCGAAAGTACACAGAAATTGTCGCCTCGAAACGAAGCGGCCTCGTCTCGGTTTTGCGGGCTGCCACCAGAAAAAAGATAGACCGTCCGGACCCAGTCCCGTCGCAGGCCCAGGTCCAGGCGCAGGCTGGTCATTCAAATATTTAAGTTGCTATTTTCGGCATGAAAAGACTGGGTCCACCATCAGAAACAGAACCACCATAGCCGTACCATAGCCCGTAGCAGAGGCAGGCAACCGGCAATGGCAGCAGCATCAAAAACTTGGCTTAATTAACTTCTGTTTAATCGCAAAGTTTCGAGTCAAAATGTTAGTCTGCCTCTTGGGACTGCTTCCAGCCCGGAGGCGGCTTATCAAAAATTACGCTAAAGTATTTGATTTTTGGATTTCTCGCTTGTTTGGATTCGCTTCGAGATTCAGTCAGCCAGTCAATCAGGCAATCTGCTCATCCAAACTGCTGTAACCCCTCTCTCTAGAGGGAGCCGAGGCTGAATTTAAATTTTAATAATTTGAAAATCATTCTAATGATTATGACCCTGATTCGGTTAAAGGATTTTTGGTCTTGTGCTCATTCAGATCTCCTAATGAGCAGAGGGGCTGTCCCTGTCCCATCCTTGTCTCTGCCAATATGAAGGCATTCCATTCCCAATTGACAGCCGTATCGATGGCTACGCATTTCAGCATTATTGAGCAATCGATTGGCACCTTTCTGATACATATCGCTGACATCATTATCACCGATACTAGTACATGTCGCACATCGAAACAGGCCCATGCCTGGGGAAACGACTCCAAGAGCCACGTTGCGTCCTGATTATCTCAGAGACAGAGACAGACTCGGGAGGGAACACAGGGACAGGCGGAGGCAGAGAGACTCCGCCAGTTGTTGCTGGCTTAAAGAACTTTATTTTTCTTTGGTTTTTCTTTTGCGTGAGTCGATCTGGTTGCCGACATGTCAAAACGCTTAACGCACAAAAGTCGAAGGAGGCCCGGACTCGGTCGTGCGGCTCCCAGGGATCAGGACCCGTCGTCCGACTTTCTTGTCAAAAACTTTTATGCGTGCGCTGCGCGTTGTTTGCCCTTTTTCCCCATAGAGGCCTGTTGTTGTTGCCTGGTTTTGGCATTATGTTTGGGGCCAGGGCGCATTTTTGTTTCGTTTTGTTAAATGCGCGGCGCGTGTGAATATTTAATAAGTCGCCCGGCTTTTGCCCTCCCTTCACCCCCCAACACACCACCCAAATCCCACACCACCCCAAAGGCCAGGCCAGGCCCGGGATCCCTCGGCATTTTACTTATAATAATCATAAAAAGAAAGAACAAAAAAAAAGTAGCCGGCCAGCGTCGTCGCCATCTCTGCCGCCGCCGCTGTGGTTTATGTTTCATAAATGAAAAGTAAACTGCAGGACTGGGGGTAATTGCCAAAGTTTCCTGGCAGCTCCTGGCTTAGTTCTGGTTCTGGGCCGCGACCCTAGTGTCGGGGCACCCATTGCCGAAATGAGATGTCGTAGAATTGCTGTGGGAAATCAATTTGGGAGTCGGAAGTCTGGCAATTGCGCGGAGTGGCCGGCCGTAAGTGACCAAAATGAGCGGAATCTTTTATAGTTATGATTGTAGTTCGATTTGCGTTGGACGAGAAGGTTTACGACCGAAATTATTTAAATGAAAGCAAAAAACTTCAATCTCATGAATCACACTGCCCAAAATGCCATGCTCTTCATCCTTAAAGCTCCGATGACTTGTTCAGGACGCGTGCCTTCTTGGCATCTGAAATCTTCATCAGCCGCTTTCGTTCTCTCGTGCGGCCAAGCAAACCGTAAGATAAATAAAAAGTTTTCAGCATGAGGTCAGATTTCTAATTTCCGAATTACAAGAGACCACGAGGCCACGCCCACTCCGCAAACACAGACAACAGGGGGCGGGGGATAGAGCAGAGAAACCAGAGATCCGACCAGACCAGACCAGACCAGAGTGCACACAAAATATATTTGTATTTTGTACTCGAACGGAAATATTTGAACACGTCGGCCAGACCCACGCCCACCGACGCAGAGCCTGGGGAGATGTCTTTATTAGGAATTTGCATAAATTTTAAAGTTTTGTCAAGTTTTTTCTTTGTTTCCGCAGAGGGTGGAAAAATATTAAAGAATGTCTTTAATGTCCTCATTCTATCTTGTTCTCTTTTCAGCGACTGTCGTGTGGTGCGCGATCCACAAACCTTGAAGTCGAAGGGCTACGGCTTCGTGTCCTTCATCAAGAAATCGGTAAGTACTATCAGCTGCATTAGCATATTTAAGTGCATATTTATGCAGTCACTTTCCTCGTTCCCTTTGTGGCATTTCTTTGCCCCGAAATCTTGCTCTGATTCTGATTCGGATTCTGACTGTGTCTCTCTGTCTTCATTATCGCCCCACAGGAAGCTGAAAGCGCCATTACGGCCATGAATGGCCAGTGGCTTGGCTCCCGTTCAATTCGCACGAATTGGGCCACACGGAAACCGCCGGCGAGTAAAGGTAAGGAAATCATGAGTGTCACCTGCCCCCAGTGTGTCTCCCTCCCTCGCCCTCAGGCCGAGGAAGCTTCCGGTGTGCGTACAGCCCGGACTCACGGCCACGGCCAGACATATCAAGCGGCATTGTTGCTGTTGCTGTTGCTTTTGCTGGGAGTCGACGCGTCGTTCTTATTACAGGAAATTATGGCAATGAATGCCAAAGGTAGCCCGACAGGGGAAGGCCAGGACAGGGCAGAGCTCGTGTGTATTTCGGGGAGGATTCGGGGCGTCATTGAAGGACCCCGAAGCCGGGAGCCGGTAGCCAGGAACCGACAACCGTTTGCTATTTATAAACGCCGCACACAATTTTCTGCCAGATTATGTTTTCTTAATATTTGTCCTTTCGCTCCCTGTAAAAATGAAAAACCGCACGCGCTTAATTTCCGTAATGGGCTGTACCCAATTTGGTTTAAACTTTTTCAATTAGTCGCTGCGAGTCAGGGACACGGGACGAGACCCAAAAATACATAGAAAGAGGCGACTAGAGCGGCATTCAATTAGGGATCCCAGCGAATCAATTTTCATTTATTTTTTCGTCCCAGCGGCACACGCCCCCCAATTTATGACGGGCACGTTGTCAACCGCATATATATCCACCCAACTGTAACCCGGCGTAATCATTATTAACAGCGTACAAACATGCTCGACGAACGGAGGAATGGAGGAACGGAACCCGTGAAGCCGCCACCGTTCGTTCGTCTGTTCTGTTCTGTCCTGTCGTTAGTCTTTCATAAATCAAAACTTAACGCATATTTGCATGTTTTAACATAATTTTTATTTGTTAGACACACACACACACACACCCCTAAGTGGGTGGCTTTGGGAGAGAGGGTAAATCAGATAAATAAATTTTGCCAACACGAAACTATTATCATAAAAGGCACATACACATAGGGGAAAATTTCATGGTTATACAACAAACATTCGGCATTCTTTAAGCTACACACACACAGATACAAATATTCACACAAAGATACACAAGGATACACCCTCAAAGGCACACACACACACACATACACAGAAACTATAGTTGGAGCCAAGGTGGAATTTATCGTGCAAAGGCCTGAAATTGTTGAAGGGTTCGCATTTCGGGGCTAGAGAAGAACCCCTGCCAGGACAGGAGACCGTAGTGTACTCGCATAATATTTTCCCCTTTGCATTTATATTGTTGTCATAAAAAACGCCTATGAAAGCTTAAGCGTATTTTTATTGGTCTCATTGTTTATTGGACTATGTCACGGTTTTGTCTGCTCGGTTCCGTTCCATTTTTCGTCGAGGATTGGCTAGAGAGTGGAGCAGGATCGGATTCCGGGTGGGCGGTAGTTCTGGATCCTGTAATACAAGTTATTATTAGCAATTTGACAGCGAAATAATTTTGATTTTTTGATCGCCTCAAGTGCTGCTGAGTCGGCAGCGGCCCAAAATCGAAGATGTGGTTATGTCCCATTCGGTGAAGGGTTTTTATGTGCCCGCTCGCATATGTACGGTACATACGATACATATGTATCCCTATATGGGATAGGGATTTTGGTTTTATGGCCTGCCTAGTTGTTGCTGCTGCTGATGTGAAGGGGGGATTGTTGGATGCTGGCTGCTGGCGAACTTTACGATTTGTAGCACTCAACTCATTTCGCATTTGGCATTCCGGCATTCGCATTACTTCATGTTTTACGCAGCCACTTTGCTCGATTCTTTGGCAATCCAGCACCGAGTTGGAGCTGGAGTTGGACTGGCATTTTTATGTTTTAAGCAGGCTGCACATTTTATGCTCCCGGCAATCAGTCCACCGTCTGCCATCCTTCGCCCTTCGTTCGCGTTTAGTGAGCCACTCATGTGCCACCCCTCTCTCCCTCTCTGTATGTGTGTGTGTGTGTGTGTGTGCTGCCCCTTTGTTGAAAGAGATTTACGATCCGACGCAATTGCGCATTTTACAGTTGTGACAATTTTGGCGTCGCTTTGCAATTTCGTGCCTGGCTAAAAGTTTTTCCCTTCTTCTTTTCTATTTTCGGGTCTTATAACGAACGCATTTCAAAGGCTGAGAGCCCGTGGCGAAAGTTTTTAAAAAGTTTTACCTTTGTTAACCGATTACCTGAGATTCTAGCCTCCATCTCCACTCTCCACGGCAATGCATGGCCATAAATAAGGGCCAAAAATACCAACAAGCTCATTATGGTAATAACTTAATTAACCAGAAACAATATGCCGACGACAGCGGCGAACAAAGACAACAAAGACGGCGAATGTTGTATGACAAATTTCTTTGCCAAAACTATTTGACTTTTGACTGCAGAATGCTTCATCAGGAGAAGGAGGTGGAGCCGGAGGTGTGCTCTGTATGTGTGTGTGTTCGTGGGGGCAATTTGGTTGAATCATTTTTGGGCGGAGTGAGACTGAAGCTATGTGGCCTCGTTACCTGGTAGTCACCAGCCGAAGCAATAAATCAAAATTTTATGCAGAGTCGAGCACAATTAAGTACAAGTTTATAAGCCTGAATGCATTCCGGCCTGGCGGGGGGCGGCTATAGTAAACTACGAGTAGCAGAAAGAGTCAATGAGTGAGCACGGAAAACGAGAAAAATAACTGAGGCTGAGCAGAAAAGGATATGAGAGATGATAACGTCCTGGGAGCTTGAAGATCTTTTGCTTTGATTGGGTCTGTTTTAATTTAGATCTGAGATCTATTTTCCTTTTATAGTTTCAGTCGCAATCATTTTGTGAAACAAATATGTCTGCGTTTCAATATTCTTCTCCTGCTAAACAATAAATTCTATGTGACTTGGGAGTATTTCTATATATTTTGGTTGCCAACACGCGTCAAAATTAGCACATAGCAACGCCCATGCGAGACGCCCTCCTAAAAACCAGACCCCGGACCCCCCCAGTCACCGAGAGAGCGAACATTCCTTGCATATTAATTACTTTTGAATTTTCTCAAGTGCCGGCCCCGGCCCAGTTCCCGTCCGCCCCTAGGCGTTGTTGTTTTTGCGACTCCGTGTAAAAATGTGAATTATTTATGTTAATGATTTGGTGATTATTTCATGATTTAGTTTTACATGCCTATAATTGCTCATTAAAATTTCAAATCGTTAGGAAAAGGGAGCACTCAAAGCAGCTGTCCCCTCCCCTACTGGCCTACTGGTCGGCCTTACAGGTACTCGTATTTGGTAATGTAATGGCTCCTGGCTCCTGGCTGGTGGACTCAAATTATTTGTGGGTTCGGCTGTGTCAGTCCAGGCCAGAAACAGAAACGGCAGAGAATGGAGTGGAATGCACTCGCTGTAGTTTGTCGTAGACAAAAATATGCGATAATTATGGCCACGCTCCCACACTTAAATGGGGGGCCGAGTGTTTTAATTTGCGGCGGACATGAAATGAAACGAAGCGAGCAGGTACGGGACACGGGATGGGGTTCGGGATAAGATCTGGGGCTAGGGACTGTCCACCAGCAAGCACTCACTCTGTAAATGGACGCCTCAAGGCTGAGCACGTACAGGAATATGTGAAGGGGGGAGGGCCGCTTGCTGCTTGCTGACTGCAGTTTCCAAATTTAATTACACGTATTCAAAAGCGTAAAAAAGAAATTAGAGAACAGAAAATATAAAAAAAGGGAAAGGCCATCTTGCGTGTGGCCGATAAGAAAGATACCCTTACCGATTTATCGGCACTATTGATGATCTGACATACACAGAACCACTTATTGACACTCTATCGACTTCTCTCTATCGATTGATATTGATTAAGAACTACATATCAGGATCATTAGTCTTCACTTGTAGCATTTAGGGAGAATAGTAATACCTTCAGAAAGGGTATTTCAGAATAAAGCGAGGGCAACACAAACACAAAGCAAAGTGCAAATTAGTGAAACATGGCGCTCAAAACTATGCAATGCCGTTTGCGTGTGGCAAAGTGTATAAATGGGAGAGAGCGTGGTGAGTGTGAGTGTGTCTGTGTGTGCGTGGCCAAAGCGCATACATTTGTGGCGAAAGCTTTCAAAAGTATTTGCGAGCTTGTTAGTTTTTCGGTGCACCCTCGCCAGGAAGCCTGCCTCTGGTTATGTACCCCAGTGCGTGTGTGTGAGTGATTTTACCTCGGTGTCAGTGTGAGTGTGCAACAGCGGTCTACAGCAATCCTGTTGCATGTCATTGGGCCATATTTTTGTGTTTTGTTTGGCATGTTCGCTGCACAGCCCAAAACAAAACCAATCCCGGCAACCAGCGGCAGGCAGGCAGCTCTGCAATGGCATTTTGATGGGCTTGCTCCAGGGGATGGGGTGGAGCAGGATAAGTGGGAAGTAGGGCTGCAAGAGAAGGCCATGTTAAGTAGGCTGTTGACGCCATGTTGAATCAGTTCCGCAAAAGGTAGAGATAGGCTGACGCAAGATCTTAGAACTAATCTGAAGATTCATCTCTGTACTTCCATTTCAAATTGATCTAATCGAATCGTACATCGGGGTCACCAAAAACTAGTGAGCTTTTGAATTGAAGTTACTATTGGAATCTGTTAAGTACGGATGCACATCCTGGCACTTCCCTTCACACGTTCACCTAATCGATCCACCACAATCTGAGTCATTAGTGAGGGATACAATGGGAATCGTGCACCGTGGTAGGTGAGCGTGGAGTCGCCTCACAATGGGCCGCAGAAATGTTTCAGAGCTAAACAAAGACATAAACACGCAAAGCTGACATTATTTTTAAAAGTGCAAATTTAGTTTTAACCTCAAAGGAAGTAATTAGTGTAACTTTTGCATACAAATACGTGCATACATACCAAATACTCGTATACTCGTACGATCCGAGCAGGAGCCAACATCAACAGCAATCAGGGTCTCGTTCTCGTTCTCGTACAGTGAGTGCAAAAAGCACAGCACGGCAGCCCAGTATACCCCGACAATAAAACGGCATACGAAATATGTATATATCCGCAAAATACGTATAATAAAAAATGCAATAACAACCGCAACAATTTTAAATATGCAACAACAATGGCGGAGAGAGGTACATGGTATCGTGCCACCACCACCAGCACCACCCACTCTCTGACACACACACACGCGCAGAGGAACCAACCACACACACACACACACACACAGGCACAGATGCATACTCACACTCGAGCATATTGACTAAGTGCATGCGGTTATTTTAATTACCAAAACGTTGCCAGCAGAGCTGCCGAGGCGGAGGCACATTTATGTAGCTCTCGTTGCCGTCGCCATTGCGGGTAAATCCGTTAATTAATTTGCATATTAATCATGCAGTTGCTGTACAAAAAACAGTGTAGGGTGTGGATGGAGTACACTGTACACTGTACAGTCACAAAAAAGTTCTGCCCATAAATATCTTTTTGAGATGGACACATTAAAATCCACCACTGCGTAACACTTGGTCTCACCCATTTTCGTCTGTTTTTTCTGTTTTTTTTTTCTCGCAGAGAACATCAAGCCGTTGACCTTCGACGAGGTCTACAATCAGAGCAGTCCCTCCAATTGCACCGTTTATGTGGGTGGCGTTAACAGCGCCCTCACCGCCCTCAGCGAGGAGGTGCTCCAGAAGACATTCGCGCCCTATGGAGCGATACAAGAGATTCGGGTCTTCAAGGACAAGGGCTATGCCTTCGTGCGGTAAGTAGAGCTATGGATCCTTCATTACCCTACGTCTGATTTACTTATCCTGTACAACTGTTTTCTTTGCAGCTTCTCCACCAAGGAGGCCGCCACCCATGCCATCGTCGGGGTACACAACACAGAACTCAACGCACAGCCCGTCAAGTGCTCGTGGGGCAAGGAGAGCGGCGATCCGAACAATGCCCAGACCATCGCCACCCAGGCACTCAATAGCGCCGCCGCTGCCGCCGCCGGGTTCCCATACGGCTTAGGGGCCACTGCTGCCGCCGCTTACGGCCAGCAGCTGGCGGCCACCGGCTGCTGGTACTCACCCACACCCACATACCAGGCCTCCTCGGCCACGGCCACAGCTGTGACCCCGGCGGCGGCCAGTGCCGCTGCTGTGCAGAACCAATTCCTGCAGGGCATCCAGGGCTACCACTTTGGCCAGTACGGCGGCTATCAGCAGGGATATATGGGGTAAGAGACTCGACTCTCAACAGGCTCGTCAGATATTGTCATTGTCATTGTCATTGGATCTGGGCGCAATAATTTTATTAGCTGATTTGCCTGTGCGTCCCGAATGTTCCGTTCCGAGTGTCCATAATATCCCGTCCGAATGATGTGTGGTGTGTAGGAATCCCCATCCACCCACTTTGGTCTGTTCTTTGTGAAGTAATTGAACCGCCACCGGGGATCGACTGCAAGGGCAGCCGCGACAAGGGGAACGACAGCATGACGGATGACTGAATTCATTTGCTAATTGCGAAACTTTTTCATTTGCACCATCGCGACGCGTCGGTCTGCGGCCGTATGAAATGCATTTCCGTGTGTGTCGGGCTGTCAACATAACGTGCTATTTGCATCGCAGTCGCGTAAATTTGTTTTCCCTGCTCTCATTCCCATTCCCATACCCATTCGCATTTCCATTCCTTGTCATCTGTCGTCTGGCTGTGATAATTGTGGCGCACACCACGCGCTCCAGGGACCAACATTTTTGTACAGGCAGATCAGTAAATGTGCTTTCCCATTCCCGCTCCCGCTACCGCCCCCATTTCCGTTCCACCAACTCAACTCTGGGCTTATGTGTGTGTGTGTTTCGTTCTCTTTGTCGTTGCAGCATGGGAGTGCAGATACCGGCCACCTGGCAAGGCGTCACCCAGGCCCAGATCTCTCCTGCACAGCAAATGGCAACGGGCGTGGCCGGGACTGCCATACCGCAGGCCGCCGGTGTGGTCGCCTACCCGATACAGCAGTTCCAAGTGAGCCCACAGGTATGTACCAGCCAACACTCAGATACTCCGTACACACCATACACTCGTACATGAACGCTGCCCGAGAACATTGAAACATTTTTCGTACATTTCTGGTACATTTCTCGTACGTTTGTTGAAACTTTTGAATGCATTGTTCGACTTTTTATTCTTTGAATTATTTATTAATTTTTCAGTTACAATCAAAATATTCAAATTATTTAGGTATTTTCGCTTATATTATTGTTCCGCATTTGGGTATCGAATGTAGATTGAAATGTTGTAAATGCATGCTATCGAATCAATGAATGTGTTTCGAATACAACTTACTCTAATATAAAAGGTATTTACGCAATATTCTGAAAAGGTTCGGGTTCATTGGGTTTTAAGTTGTATTTTAAAATGTAGTAAATGAATATAATTCAGCCCATTTGTGTTGGCTTTTTTCGTTGTGGGTAAATCCGCATGAACTGCATATGGATCTGCTTTCGATTTCGATTTCCATATGCATACTCATACTCGAATAATCCTTAAAGTGCTCGGTATCGCCAGATACGTATACGTAACACTCATTTGCCAGTCTGTTTGTGCGTTTATTTGCTAATCCCGTGCTCTAGCATAATTCGAAAGCGTTCTCTCTGGAAAGCAAACAGTGTGAACACAATTTATTATTGCATATCAAATGTCGTATTGTTTGTTTCTGTAATCGAATTCTGCATACACCGTGTTTTTTTCCTGCATTACAATTAATTTTTTTCCGACTACTACTTTTTTCCAATTTTGACTAACACCCATATTATTTTTTAAGGTTTATCCTTTACTCTTGCAGGCACAGTAAGCGCAAAACCAAAACACGAATAAGCCAGTTAAAAGCCAAAAAATACCATACCAAATTTTTCTAGTACAGCTGCTATTCTGAAACAGAAACAAAACCAAAACCAAAACCAAACTGAGCTGTAAATAAAATGCGAAGCGCAGAACCCAAAAATTGCGAAACCCATTGATGGCGATCTTAGACAGCTGCACCCCGCCCCAGAAAAATCTATGCTAAAGCTAAATGCAACACACAAACACACACCCAAACATACATACATAATAATTATACATATACCTATAAATATATATATATATACATATATACATCAAAAATAGAGCATACAAATATCTGTAAAACGGGCAGCCAAGGCAAACAATTATTACATATGTATATGCAAAAAGCAAAGAAAATCGAAAATATTTTTAACCCTAGTTGCTTCCACTCGAACACACATACACACACAGATACACCCCATGACATTATGCAAACATAATTTAATGCTTTATGTAAATGTGTTGGAGCATGCCGCGTATAAAAAACAACAATAATTAATTGAGGGACAAAGCAAGAAGAATTACATGCAAAAATGTCGCACATACTCGTAAATAAAATGGATCGGTTTGACGGAAAGCATAAACTGAGCGTGTGGTTGTATTCTGTGCCTAAATCACACATACACACACACTCAATGCGTCTGGCGCACACTAAAACAAATATCCACACACATACAAATCAGGCAGGGCAGCGCGACATTAAATTAAAATAAACATAATTAAAAATGCGTTAAAATTAATTACGCGCACACACACGCACACACTGCCGCATGTAAATATTTATTTGTGTGTGGCTGCGTGTGTGGGTGTGTGTGTAAGTGGGCAAACAAAAATCCTGCCAGCCAGACCGTCATCCCACCTCAGTTTCTTAAACCCCTTTCGAAACCGTGACAAACCCCAGACCAGACCATATTGTACGAGTATTTTGCCTACTTTTGAACCCAGTTTGGTTTTAGCCTAGCAGCAGCATACAGACACACACAAAAACAAAGACACACATAGCACTAGTGCCTATAACTATGATAGATGAGGTGAATATTTTACTAAACGCAGCACTGCAGCAGCCCACACACACACACACACACACACGCTTAGAGACAACTGCCAATACTCGTATATGTACTTGTTCGTACTAGTATGCCAATCGCAATCGAATTGGCCAATCCTTGTCATGTCCGGCTACCATTTTCCTATAGAACTATCGCACTTTGATTTGTGATTGATCAGCAATTGAAAGACAGGTTCCTATAAGGTCTACACACGCACACAGACACAAAAGACGCACACACACAAGCACTCGCAGCTGAAAGTATCTGACTAACTATGAAATATGAAGAAGGCATTAGAGAGGAATAGGAAAACGAAATCCAAACGCAATCCAAACGCAACCACCCAATCCAGGACAGTCCAGCCACAAAAATCCAGAAACAAACTTGTATCTCTCTCTCTCTCTATATAATTTTTTTGTTGTTTACCCTTCATAAGGCTTCAGCAGCTACAGCAGCTAAGCGTTTAATTTGTTTGAAATTTGAATTTAATTTGATAATGATTTAAGTTTTGCCTTTTTTTCAACAAGCTTCATGAGAGATATGTATGTAAAATAAAGCAGCCGCCCCACATAAGCAGACACAAAAATGTTTCAACCTCACCCAAAACATTGAAACCCCCGCCCCCCCCGTACACACTCTTATTGCCAATGTATACTCGTATCTTGTTCATGTGTATGGTTTTATTTCAGTTGCCAGAAGAGGAATGGCTAGCTGCAAATATGTTGTGTTAGTTCTCTGTTGTTTAGGCCAAAACGAAAACGAAATAGAAAACCAAAACGAAACCCAACCCAAACCAATACCAAACCGAACCGAACCGAACCGATAACTAAACAAAATACGCATATAGCTACAGATATATATATATACTATACGTATATATATAATATAGTAATATAGAGAGAGAAGAACTCCCCCAATACACAAGTAAAATATATTGAAAACAATCAAAGTATGCCATCGAATGATATTAATTGATATTAGCTAATCGAGCATAGCCGTAATAAAATAGATATTATCACATAATCATGTAAGCGAACCAAAAATAAAACACTTCAATTCAGAAGCAGAAGCAAAAGCAAAAGCAGCAGGAGCAGCAGTCACAGAAATGAAACATTAATAAACTAATTATCCAGAAAAGACAGGGACAAAGAAGTCCCTCACAGACAAGAAAACGATACCGATGATACCGATACGGATACCGATACCGATACCTAAGCAAGCATTAATCAACTTATAAATAAAACATACACACACGAAAATTGCTAGAGAAGAAAACATGAGAGACAGCTACACTAGAAGGATACTCGCACAAGACAGGGCAGTGTAGACACGGTAGACACGGTAGCAGTCCTTCCCGTTCAAGGAAGCCTACAGATAAGGTACATATTGAGTAAATGGCAGTACATGAATGTGAAACATAATAAAGCCGTTAAAAAAGAGAAACTAAAAGTGTAGCATATATAAATAGATATAGAGATGGTTGAAATATATAGAGTATACAGCATATGCATTAAACAAACATGCTTATATAACATACTATACAAAAACGGTATTGATAGAGAACACTCTCACTCATATACTTACACCCACTCACACTCACACTCCCACTACCACTCATAGCACTATGGTCCGAACGACCACTTTTGTTGGCCAAAATTAATAACTCCCGAACGGAACAAGATTTTTTCATTTAGTTTTTTGTATTGGATATATATAATCAATAAGAAATGGATTTAAGAAAAAAAATGGGTGTGGCACCGCCCCTTTTTTTAATAATGCATATTTAAATTTTTAGTTATAGTGAAAAAAAGTATTAAGCATATTTTATTTAAGAAAACGGCGTTGCACGACTAAAAAAAATTTTGATTTAAATAAAAATAAAATCGTTTAAAGGTTTCCGTAAATTATTGCCGAAATCCTTGTCTAGAAGCAAGGTTAACGCCTCGTTAAGTGAGATATGTGCCGGCTTTCCGACTGGGTCCTGTACAGCCTTACGAACTTAGTTAGCATATTTGGACATAAAGATAAATGTATTGAAAAAAAGGCTTGTGGCCAATCCACATATTTTCGTTCAAACATCTTTGAATTTTACCGGCATTTGTTCCGGTATGTTGCCAAACGGTAACAAATTTTCTTGCTGGTATCTTCAAAAGCTTTATTAATTTCATATGATATGTCGCCTTAAGATCCGTTTTCAAATAATTGATAATTTTACCCTTCTCTGAATTCCATTCGGCAAACAAATCTGCATTTTCGAATTTGAGGTTATGCTCTATTAATGCAAATTCCAAGAATTGTGGTAAAAAGTGGCATTTCTAACTATATACATTTCAAAAAGAATTTATTAATCTACGACACAGAAAAGGTTTCAGGGTGGGACTAGGTGGGACTCACTTTGTACACCTTTTCAAAAATTAGTTTTCATTACAAGTTGGCACATGTTGAAGGCCTCACTTTAACCTTCAATTACGAAGACATCAGAACTACTAGAGACAGTTTAAAACTCAAAACACGTAGTAAGAACCCGACAGATTAAGATTCATCAAAAAAATTTAATCACGTCTTGGCGTTTTTCAATTTTTGAGATATCTAAAGTGGTTATTAATTTGCCACTTTTTCCCTTCACGTGCTTTACTATAAAAACAGTTGGGTTGCACAGCTGATTTTGCGAATGTGGCGCCATCTATGGAAATTTCTGGTACGCAGATTTAATGGTCGATCTTTTTCTAATGCAGAGCGATCAAAACCAGGTTTCAGTTTTGACTTTGAAAAATTAGGTTTTGGCCAACAAAAGTGGTCGTTCGGACCATAGTGCATAGGATGCATAGGAATACGAGTACTTGTACACGGTATTTACATACAGAGAAGAAAAACTATGGTCATATGGTAGATTATATTTATGGCATATTGTGTTGTATGTGCTGGATGATAAATCACATATAGATGTTCAAAATGAAAACCAATTAAAATGATGACAACAACAAATAAAAATAAAAAAATTCACAAGTAATAGAAATAGGAATACAGATACGGATACACATGCACAAACACATGCGTATGCAACGGTTAAATTAAGCTTCAGATATTTTCCAGGGACAGAGGTCGGGCACAATTTGCATTTGACACGCCCCAAATTCCAAATTGTGACTGTTTGGGCGGTTTTTTAGTGGAATTTTTGGCAGCAGAAGAGGCTGAATAGAAAGGAATAGAAAGAGCATTTAGTTACTTGGGTGTGGCCCGAGCACGAGTGCGATATATGTATGTATGTATGTCTATTGATAATCGAACACACAAACACATACTCGTAGCCTAGTATGGATATATTTTTGTGTTAGCTAGATGGTAGGATGATAGGATGCTCACTCATTATGATTAGCCATGGTCGCCGAGTTTTAGCCGCGGATCGGAGGCAGGAGGCAGGCGGCAGGCGGCAGGAGACCCACACACATGTAACTGTAGACACTAGGGGCAGTTGTACTGTACTATATTTAAATGTTTTTAGCACTAGAAATTAGAGAAACTACGAGAAGCATTGCATGTTTAACCAGGACGGCAAACGACTTAGATGTAGATGTGATTTTAAAGCGGGGTGGGATTGGATTGGAGTTGTATCGACTGGTATCGGAGCGATAGAGGAGCGATAGAGGCACGAAGAGAAATGCATTTTTCTGTTGTCATTTCATTTTCTAGACATTTTTTGTTATGTGACAAAACGCGGGAAAGCAAAATTCATAATGTTGTTGACCAAACAAAAAAAAAAGAAATTAAAACCGAAGAAAAATAAAAAAACAAATTCAAAGAGAAACCAAAACTGTTTCGGAGAAAACTAAAATTTGGCTATAAGAAAACGGAGACGAATGAAGAAAAAAGAAGTGAAGAACATTTATAAGAGCATAAGTTTATAGTTAAGGAAAAACAAGAAGAAAAGAAAAAAGAAAAACAAAAAACAAAAAAATATTATCGGTTTGTTTGTTAATGTTTGCGCTACATATCAGTAAAGAGTTAAAAAATGGGTAGTTGGCACATAGAAGAACTAGAGAAGAGTTGGAAACTAAATAGGAATTACCAGTAGCTGTGGAACGCGAGAGATGATCCAACAGGCGGACGACGACGAACTAAATAATATACAAATAACAAATATATATATGAATAAATGCTGTAACTGTATGTATTTATGTTGTGTATCT